TACTAACGTTAATCTATCAATAATTTAACGACTATTTGTCGTACTTGCAAAGTTACTTCAAGTCGGCAGAATGACTAAGATAGAGCATCGAAATAAAGGTTTAATGATATATTAATCGATGGTTTCTTACCTGTTCTGCACAAGTGACACCTGCGATTCCTCCACCTACAATCACGAACTTGACTTGTTTCTCTGAAGCCATTGAACTTCAGCACATGGAGATCTGTTTACAGATAGGAACAACGAACGAAATGCTCGACTCAAACTATCGAAATGCTCAATTTTTTCGATCTTTTTATCGATCTTGTTTTTTGTCTCTCATATAAACATATTAAATAAAAACAGAGGTATAAAGAGCAGCTATATTTAGAGCGAACTGACTTCCGTGTTTACCCACTTTCAGCTGACTACAGGAAGCATTGAGGGTCAAACGGTTTGCGCTACGCATTAGCTGCGTCCCAAATACTTTGAAGTACTTTTTTTTGTGAAGAAAAAGTACATACTTCCCGCATTAACGATATGTTGCTTAGTTTGTCAATCATCTCGACACATCATCCACATTACTTGAAACCAAATATTTATTTGATATGAAATATTTCCAGGTTATTGCCATTCGCTAGTCTTTCATGCAGAGATCTCCTCATGTCTTTGCAGAAGTATTGTCCACGACTTCATATGAGTTCACATTGTAGTAGTAGATGAAATAACATGGCAACCCTACTGAAAAAAAACAGCTTAAACCAGTCTAGGCTGGTTGGCTGGTTTTAGAGGGGTTTTGGCCACTTCCAGGCTGGTTTCCAGCCATTTCCAGCCTGGTCTGGCTGGGAGATGACCAGCTAAAACCAGCTTGACCAGCCTAGCCAGGCTGGGAGCCCAGCCAAAACTAGCTATGTCCAGCTTAAACCAGGCTGGTCAAGCTGGTTTTAGCTGGATTTAGCTGGTCATTTTCCAGCCTGACCAGCTAAGACCAGGCTGGAATTGACTGGAAACCAGCCTGGAAATTACCAAAACCCCTCTAAAACCAGCCTGGTCGACCAGCTTAAACCAGCCAACCAGCCTAGGCTGGTATAAGCTGGATTTTCAGCAGGGAAATGTGATTTAAACATTTGCCAGTTGGCTAGATATTAATTAACAATCATTCAAATAACTTTACCAAAGCCTCTACTTCACGGTTCGACTCGTGTGTCTGTCATTTTCGTAGTTTGCTGACACTTTTTAACCGAGTATGCAGTTCTAATCGAATTCACATCCAACACGCAATGTATATGTGGGCAATATCAGCGTTTAGAGTACGGATGCTTCTACAATTCGAATTTCTACCAGAAATAGTAGAGCGTCTGGGAACCTTTAACTTACTCTTTTCAGTCATATGGTTTGGGACATACTAATTATATTTTCCAATATTATTTAGGATGGATAGAATGCAAATTGGGACACACACAGCAAGACAGTCTTGTTGTCCATCTGGAAGGGCTCATCCTTAATCCCTTCAAAAGGTTTTCCCTATGGAGTGATAGTATTGAAGGCATAAAGGGTTTAGGAGTCAGTTCCTCTGCTGAAAAAAAAAACAGCGTAAACCAGCCTAAGCTGGTTGACCAGCCTGGTTTTAGAGGGGCTTCTAGTCAGGCTGGAAAATGACCAGCTAAAACCAGCCTGGTTTAAGCTGGACATAGCTGGTTTTAGCTGGTTTTAGCTGGTTATCTCCCAGCTTGACCAGCTAAGACAAGGCTGGAAATGGCTGGAAACCAGCCTGGAAATGGCCAAAACCCCTCTAAAACCAGGCTGGTTGGCCAGCTAAAACCAGCCTAGGCTGGTTTGTGCTGTTTTTTTTAGCAGGGTTTTGTAACATAAGCCATATCTGAAAATAAAATACTAAAAACTAAATATGTAGGAGTGTTAAGTTTGTTACAGACCCTATATTGACTGTTTATATTATACTTACAGTACCGATGCAATGACTGATGCATTTGTATTACATTCCAGAGAGCCATTTCTGTGCTAACTGTCCTGGATCTGCGTGGAACGAGAGGGTTGAACAAACCGAACTGTTCGGCCTATTAGTGGAAAAGAAGCAAATTTGTGTACTCTTTTGTGGATAACATGTAACTGATTAATGAATGCAGCACTATCGCTAAGCTAATCTTAGCTGGTTCATGGCTTCACTGCACAAATGACAAACTACAGGAAAGCACATGGAAAATAGCGAGCTCAGTTGCATTTCGTTGATCTTAGAAGGCTGTAAACATTTGTTCCTTAAATGTGATTCTCACAAACTGTTAGTGAACAGGAAGACCCAAAAAAGAAGACTCTGCGAAAAAATTTGATAAAGGAATGTTTGATGGCAGGGTGAGTGAAGGCTTGCTCTCTAGTTTTTAGCTATTAGTCGATTTAATTTTGAAAGACGAGCAGATATCAGGCAGTTATTAATAATAAATAAGTGAATAAATACATGGAAAGGAGAAAATCACCTGGGGCCTCATGTGTCAACACTGTGTATGCACAAAAACTTCACGTACGCCAGGTATCACGCTCACGTTTGGAGTTACTACTGATGAAATGAACGTGAGAATGTGCGTGTCTCGGTCTCCCGCTGCGTCAGATAAACAGCAGAGTGACAGACATGAAGGAAGCCAATCTCATATACTACAGTAAGAACTTCCCCAATGATCGTTCGATGTACTTGTTGCGGAGTTAATTCAAGCCTTTCTGCAACGATGAGTCACATACAATGTCGTAACAAAGTTTATATACATCGTTGTATGGATATCTGTTATGTTAATGTACCAAATAAACCTGATTTAACGTCCACAAATTTTACTGTCTTTAACTTACTTTATTACAATCATGCAAACGTTTTTAAACGTTTTAAAACTCATTTGACGATGATTGATGATCACAGAGCGCTGAACAGATCTTTTCAGACCTGTCTTGTTCATATTATTCTACGAGTTATTACAGACACATGTTAATACGCGGCTGTCAATCAATTCGGTGGGTGAGGAAACCGCACTCCTACATTACGTTGCGGTCGGCCTCAAAATGGGAGGGATTTTGATTGGATACTGATTTTAACGAAAAAAAAAAAAACTTATTGTCTTTTAAAAAGACTTATTCTCTTTAAAGCCCCCTTATATGACTATGGACCATAGACCGTAAAATATATGGACGTAGTATCCGTGACGTCACCCATAGGTTTCTAAAGGGCGCAAAAGAAGCCACAAGTAGGCGTGGCCAACCGTCGCTATTTTGTTCGCGCGTCATCACACCCACGGCGGGATACCAAACAAGGGCAAAGAGGCGGAGAGTGAGCGGAGCTACAGACACCTGCTGGCATTTTGCTTGGACCTGAATCAGACACACTTTACTTTGGGAGAAATGCTTAATACTTTATCACCTGCGACTCGTTTGTATTCTGACCACTTGTGCTTGGTTGTATACTATATCAATAAAGTGTTTTGAGCCACTAAACATTGTTCTTATGACGTTTTTCAACAGGAGGAAAATACGAATTACTTCCAAACACTTCAGATATAGTCTGTGTTAGTTAATGCAAGACTATTGATGAAATCCAGCATAACACTGTATGACAACGCTTCAGATGACTGTTCTAGAGCCTACAGCTAATCAATTCGTCAGATTCTGCAGTGCATTACAGCTCTAAATATAAATATAAACGATAAATGATCTTAAATAAAACAAATACATGTATAGAGATGGTATATAAGTATATAACTTTACTCACATGGGGAACGGAGGCCACGTGAATGGTTTGTAAGCACAATTAAGTGCACTCAGCATGCCATGCCATCTAATAATTGTAGGAAACAAGTCCAAAAGGCAGTTGACTGTGTAAAGCCACATAAAACAACACAGAAATACGATAAATATGCCGAGTTCAGTGGCTAATCTGCAGGATTCAGCTGAGGTGACGTGACGGCGACCAATGAGACCTAACTGTCACTCAAGTGGCCACGCCCTTAATTATGCAAACTTAATATAACTTAATATAAAGGAAACGGATGAGTTATAAAAAAATTCACACCCCTCACAGTTGTCATGAAGGGTAATATTGGCTGTATTAACCAAAATCTTTTTTTGTTCCAGGCTGTAAACACCTTTTTTTCTGCTGTAAAGTTGTTCATTCTAACAGTGGGCTCAATTGAAATTTGCTCTGTTTTGGAGCCAGGAGCGGCCACGACTAGCGGAATTTCAGATGAATTGCAGTTTTAGTTACTTCCGTATTGGCTTCCTGAGGGAGAGCGGGAGGTTGCCGCTTGCTATGGACGCACTAAACCTACACATAGTTCTGTCCAAGCAGCTCCTACAAGAAGACTTTCATCATAGGTGCCCTTTAATTGTAAGTTCAGCGAGCAGTTTTCCAGATTTCAGGATTCCCCCCTGTTTATATGGCCGCAGAGTGAACTCTGCTTGAAAGGGACTCTGGTATACGTCACATTTTGGTAAATATAATACGGTTCTCTAAAGTGCCTAAAGATATGGATAACAAACAAACTGTTATCAGTGAACTGGGAAACCTAAAAAAATAAAAAAGAGATGTAAACTGACTAGTAGCTTTTAATTTTCTGGATTGAGTAATTTTCAAACAAAATCTCACGGCAATTCGTAACTTTTGGATTTAGTGGCTAATTCGTATGAATTCGTACGATCTAATTCATACAATTTAGTACGATTTGCTAATCACCCAATGATAATTGGGGTTAAGGGTGGGGTTGGGTGCCTCGCCTCCCTTTTACAATTTTCGTACGACTGAACTCGTACGAATTAGCCACTAAACTGTTAAAAATGGTAGGGATTTTGATAGGATACTGATTTTAACGAAAAAAAAAACGAGACTTATTGTCTTTAAAGCCCTCTAATATGACTATGGACGGACTAAACCTACACATAGTTCTGTCCAAGCAGCTCCTAAAAGATGACTTTCATCATAGGTGCCCTTTAATTGTAAGTTCAGCGAGCAGTTTTCCAGATTTCAGGATTCCCCCGGTTTATATGGCCGCAGAGTGAACTCTGCTTGAAAGGGACTCTGGTATACGTCAAATTTTGGTAAATATAATACGGTTCTCTAAAGTGCCTAAAGATATGGATAACAAACAAACTACTATCAGTGAACTGTGAAACCCCCCCCAAAAAAAGAGAGGTAAGAGATTAGTAGCTTTTAGATCTCTGGATTGACTAATTTTCAAACAAAATCTCACGGCAATTCGTAACTTTTTGATTTAATTCGTATAAATTCATACGATCTAATTCATACAATTTAGTAAGATTTGCTCATCACCCAATGATGGTTGGGGTTAGGGGTGGGGTTGGGTGCCTCGCCTCCCTTTTACAATTTTCGTACGACTGAACTCGAACGAATTAGCCACTA